GCAAGCCACACGGTCAGTGCTGCTTCATAACAAACCCTTGATGGGAAGCAGACCCTGGAAAAGCTGTGCCAGCCCCCTGACCCACCCAAACCATCGTGTTCAGATCTGCACAGCCTACACACACCACGGGCATTTCATCCTTACATTTTGTGTCTCAGCACCCCCCACCAGAGAGGATCCATGGAAACATTCCCTCCAGGCTTCAACTCACTGTTTTCAATCACAGGATTTTTAATCCATCGCTGCTGGGATGTGACCTCAGCCCTTATGACATCCTTGGCTTCTGCTAAGTATGTAATTTAAAAACTAGGAATATTGTGCTGTGTTTCATTGTGCAAGTGATTTGAGCATTCAAGCCACTTAATATTTTCAAAATATAGTAATTAATAACTACTTTAACTTCATCTTATAGGTATTTTCCAATGCAAAACTTTCTACAATTAGTTACAGGTCAGAAGGTGGTTTTACTTTCGAGTTCTCCTTATGAAACAGATTTAAAAATGCAACTCCATCAAGAAAGCAGCACTTTGCAGAAAGGATAACACTGGCAACATTTCTCAGAACAGTTTCCAGCCATACCAGCAACATCCACCCTTAAGTATTCCCTGTCTGGCAGCATTTGGTTCAGATGAGGGATTTAAGGCAGACCCCCACTGCTCTGTCCATTCTGGCCCTCACACCACCAGCAGTGGCTGCCCCTGGGCTATGGCAGCTGTCTCAGGATTTGGCTTCTCTCTACACCAGAGCAGAACAGCACTGAAGCCCTGGAACCTTTTCCCTTACAGATGCATCATAAAAATCTATCTTAAATGACTTAAAGAAATAAATTATTATAGCTCTTTCTAAATAACAGGGCAGCTGCTTAAAAAATAGGAAAGGCAGAAGGTTCCCCTTCCATTACCACACTGCACAGTCAGGCTGGTGCATCCCAGCCCCAGCTTGGTCTCCACACTGCCTTGTTGGTGTTGCTTTATGACCTGCCTCGATTGCACATCATCAGCCTGCAGCAGAAAGCCACAGACTGATCCCTTCCCAAGCTTACACCACTGATTTCAAACACCGCTAATAAATCAATTTGAAAAATCACACTTCTCTGCCTAGCAAAGAAATTCCTACATTCCTCAACATGAAGCTCCACTGGGAGCAGGGAACAGGAACAAATTGTTTCCTTTTCCTAAGGAGGGGCCAGCTTAACTAGTGAAAAGGTAACTGGGAGCTCAGAAGGAAAATTCACACATCTTCTCTTACTCCTGGTGTTCAAGCAGAGCAATTGCTATCTGTATCAAAGCCAGAGCTGCACCTCCCTGCTGTGGTGCTCTGCCAGAGCTGGGTCTGCAGCCCTGAGCACTCGGTAGCCCACAGTGACCTGCTCCAAGCAGGGAGGGACCAGCAGCCAGGGCTGAGCTGCAGTAAAAACGAGCTGTTTGTGTTGGTTTTCAGGCACACAGCTCAGGCCAGAGCCCCAGCACAGCAGCCACAGGCTGGCCCCAGGTCTGGCCCGGTTCAGCTGCTCTGCAGAGCCCAGCCCAGGACAGGGCAGGACCAGGGACAGGAGCACACACTGCTCTGCCCAGGCTGGGGCACAGAGGGACAGCACAGGGCCCTGTGGCCAGGCAGGAGCTGCTGTGGGACCAGCCAGGGTGGCACGGAGCTCCTGCTGCACAGACTGAGCCTGCACACCAACTGCTGCACTCACACAGCACAGGAATGCAAGTGGACTGCAGCCACACCTTCCCTCTCCAGGAAAATCATTAACCTTGGGGATGGCACCTCGCAAACCAAGGCACTGAACAATTCCCAGGGTCAGTGTGAATCTATGTTCCCAAAACCTGACATCAACAAGCGAAAGCTGTGACTGAATCCTGGTCTCTCCAAGAGGAAGATTTAATGCCTGTGACACATCATCTGCAATCAGAGTGCTCCTTTCCCCAAAGTATCCATCACAGATTGATAACATCCACGCAGAAAGTGAAGTGCAATTGTGTCTGTCACTGGAACACACTTGGACAGCACTGACTGACATCTTGCTTGCAGCTGACAAACTCTGAGCAGGCTGTTGGAGTGACAGTGGCACAGGCTGGAAGGGACGTGGAACCCAAGCCACAGAAGCCACCCGGGCTCACAGAGCACCACCCAGGCCAAAGGGCTTGTGGCTGATTCTGCTGTACCCACAGCAGCCAGGGACTGCTCCAAAACGCTGCAACCACACTCCAAGAGAACATCACCCACAAATCCTGCTCCAGCCGACTCCAGCAGAGTGTGAGGCCTGGCAGAGCTGAGCCCTGGCACTGCTCACACACTCCTGCCATGTGCTGCTCCCCAGGCCCCCAGCACATCAACTGGCACTCCTGGATGCACAGGCTGGGTGAAGCAAGAATGTGCCAAAGCTCAGGTGAGTCACCTGTAACCAGCAGCTGCTCTGGGGCAGGATGAGCTCCCTGACAACTCTGTGATGGGCCACCATCCCTGCACCACAGAGCAGAGGGGCTAGTGCACACACAGGTATCCCACAGTAACAACTCCTCCCAATTCAGGTTTAGTTTATATCCAGCAATTGTTCTGAAGCCCCTTCTTGATTCAGAATTATTCCATAATGCAAACAGCAACTGAAGAGAGCAGTGAGGTATCTGACCAGCCCAACAGTGCTCCATGCAGCACTGCTCCCTGATTCTCCCTCACTACTGAGGCAGCTTCAGAACAACCCAGTGCTATTCCTGTCAGGATACAGCCACATGGAATAAAACAGCAAACTGGCTGCCAGTGTAATCTCCTCTCTCCATGGTGATGTGAAAATAAGAGATTACTTGTGACTACAGTCTTCCACAAACACTATGCTGAGTAACTCACCACATTGCTGACAGCGTTAGAAGAGGCCTTCAGGTTGTCAGGGTTCCCTGTAATAATTAAATATTTGCAGGATGCACCTTTATATACATTTCTATTTCTTAAAAAATATATTGGATAATAAATAACCAGAGTAAAAAAACAGACATGAAAGATGCTTTGAATGATCAGGCTGGTGGTGTAAAAGTTACCTGTAAATCACACATAGGGTGTGAGAGTGGAGCTGGCTACAGACAGGTGGGTTTTACTACAAGGCATTAATGTAACATTCAATTATTCCACTGCATACTGGCTGGTTTAACTCAGCCAAATTAGAATACATTTTATATTGACTATTTTGACATTTGCTTTATTTGGCAAGTAAAACAAAACTGATCCAATTTCCTTGCAGCCATTGTAAACCATAAACTGCACAACAAGAGGTTATAAAATATATAAGCCTTGTAAACACTTCTTTTCAGACTGTCACTGATGCTTTGAGCTCTAATTTTGGCCCTGTTCCCAAAAGCTCTGACACTGCTCTGCAGCCTTCCCTGGTCAGCTACAAGTGACCCTTCCACATACAGTGATTAAGCACTGCCATTGACATCCTCTTGCTATGATAATTTCTTTTCTTTATTGTGGAAACCTGTCCAGACAGAATTTCTTGCAAAAAGAAAATGAAGACCTGTGCTCTAAAAGCAAGATCTCTTTCTCTCTGATCTCACATGGCCTGGGCTGGCACCTAGCTATGTCCAGCAGAGCTTCAGGAAAACATCTCAGGTCCTAGTGGGACAGGCTGGAATCTCCACAACACTGCTGGCTTTTCATCTCTTTTGCCTCCATCTCTGAGAAGCATGACAGCATGTCTGCCTGCAGCACACCTGACACACAGCACAGCAAGCACTGTGCCAGGGCATGGCAGCTGAGCAAGCAAAACTCTCAGTGAAACACACACCCAAATGCTTTGGAGAGCTCAAAGAGCCACCACAGGACAGTGGATTCCAGTCTGATCAAGGGTGAAGGCTCAAATGCACTCCCCTGCCTTAAGGAGGTACCTGACAGCTTGCTGGGGAACACGTTGCAGCAGTGTAACTCTGAAATGATCTGTAAACCAAGACTCTAAAGGACATAAGGAATTTCCACCCATGTGATATAACGACCTTTGTACACAAACTGGAACCTTGGAATTCCTCTCTGCTGTCTCCTTCAGAATTCTAGCTCTCACTAGTTCCTGTAATACTGTAAAGATATCTGCATGTAGAAAATGCCCGTTGCAAAAATACATGTACACTTACATAGGCAAAAGCACAAAGGGACCCAAAGGGAACGTGCTGTCCCCTGGCAATGGCCTGGCCAGTCTGTGAGCCCCAGCAGCAGGAGCACAATTCACACTGGGTGCTGTGCTTTCAGAGTGAATGTCAGCAGTGCAAAGTTCTCACTTTAATCACTGCCTGGCCTGGTTTGTTGCTTAACAACATCTGTTCCTGTCCAGAGAAATCCAGCAGGTAAGCTGTCAGTACAGCACTACTGCTGTATGGAAGTGTACACACCAGCACATCTGTTGATGCACACACAGAAATATTGCCTGTAACACTGGGAGAACAGCCTGGACAGACAGCACAGCCCAGCAGTGCTGCTCCCATCAGTCACAGGAGGCTGCTGTGCACGTTCATGGCAGCTGCATAACTGGAGCTCAGCAACTGAGTTCAAGAAAATAAACCAAGAACCAGTACTTCAAACCATGAATGGACTGATCCTGGAGATGAGCAAAACCTGTTTCCCTTCTGAAGTCTGTAGACACTTCTCCCTCCCTCTGGCCAAGGAGAAACCCAGCCTGGCTGCAGCTCTGGCTCACCCTTCTGAGCCAACACACATGTATGTGTTGAAAGCCACATCCTGCATAATTTGAAGCAAAGGAAAGGCAGTGTTTTCTGTTTCCCTTCCTCTGCAGGCTTTTCCCTTCTTCTGGCTTCTTCACCCACTTTTCTTTACACAACAACAGGCAAAGGGACTTCAAGCAGGCAAATCCTTCAACAAACAGCACGTTCCCTTATCAGATTGTGACACAATCATTCCACACTGATGCAGCACCCTGGCCTTGGATTCCCGGGCAAGGTTAGCAACCACAAGACATGCAGCATCAAGCAGGAGGAGCAGGAATGCAGCAAGCCTACCTTGGCAGGTTGGGAGCGGGGGCTGGAGCCGGCGCTGGGGCGGGAGGAGGTGCGGGCTGGGCGGGGTCGTGGTTGCGGGGCACTCTGCCCATGCGGTACCAGATGCCCATGCTGTTCAGCTCCCTGGGGAAACAACAGCAGCGTCAGTGCCAGCACTGCACCAGCAGCATGACGTGTTTCACCAACACCTTGGTCAGTGAGAACGAGTGTCATCAAAGAAAAATGAGGGGTGAGTTAATTGAGTTAATTCCTACATCAAACTCAGGAACACTTGTACTTACCTGGACTTTCTAATGATAAGCTTCACCTCTTACAAGCTACCACTTGGTAGTCAGAGGAGCACAGGGCCCCTGCTTTGGTACTCACCCTATGAACGTGTACTGGGGAGGGGCTTGCTTAGACCTGCCCAGGATTCGGATATCGCAGATCGCTGCCTCTGTAGAATCTCGTGGAATGAATTTAATGCACAGCCTCTTCTTTCTGAAGGCTACTTCTTCTGCAAAAACAACCCAGAACACAGGGTGGGTTTTATGAGAGATTAGAGTATAAATGTTATTTGTACTCTCCAGATATTAGGCAGGTAATTATGGCCAAAGAACAGACATATGTCAACAAACCAGTCAGTGCAGTGCCATTCAGAGGGGAATGTTCTATCACACGTGTTATTTGCACTACAACAACCAGATCTCCTGCCTGCTGCAGAGATCTGCTCCCACATATGCCCCAGTGCAGCCCCACAGCACAGAACAGCAGCTGACTGCCAGTTCCACATGCCTCTCACACTCCCTTTGCTTTTTCCCAAGTAATGTTTGCCTCACTGGCCTGGACAGCCACACCTACACATTCCTCCCACAGGCACTGCCCCTAGGAAGGTACCTGGGAGCTTCGGATACAGTCAGCTCATCCTGCTACGTGCTTCCAACCAGCCACTTCCAACCCGCTGTGAGGAGGGGCGGGCAGAGCCTGCCACGCAGAGAGGCTGAGTGTAAGAGCTGTCTGTCCACATCTCACACATCCCAAGTGTTAGTGACACCTCCTGATGAAGTCAGCAGGCACAGAAATGATACTCCCACCATATCTGCCCTGGTTCTTTGCAAGGACAAACCAGATTCACACAGCACTAAGTGCCAGAACCTCTCACAAGGCAGCTGTGCTGCTCTGACCTGTGCTCTGAGGGTGGATGAACAAACTGCACAGCCCTTTCTGCCATGTGCCACAGAGCAATCCCACTTGTTTCCATGTTACCCATCACGAAAAACTCAAGCCCAGAGTTCAGGCTTATCTGTATAATGAACTCACAGATCTCCAGGCTGTTTACCAGCACACAGACACGATCCCCAGCCAGCACTGGTGCTGTCTGTGAGCAGGGCTGGCACTGGCACACAAACATTTGTGGTGCTTGGAAAACAATGCTCCCTCTCACCCTAGGGAGTCTCAGGGTGAGCAAGGCGAGGGTCCTGTTTGGATGCAGACACTTAGAAAGCAGGACAGAATTCTACTGATACACTGAAAATCTAAAGAGCAGACACTGAATGAAAATCTGGAAACAACCAGCAACTACAAACAAGTGCCTGCAAAATAAAAACCCTTCATCTTAATATGAACAAATATCTTCCAACTTAAAATATGCTGTCACTTCAACAGATGGCAAGCAGCAGTCTCCATAGGCTCCTCCTGTTTTGTAATCCACACCTTGGGAAACAGCAATCCATTCCAGCCTCTGGAATGTGCTGCTGCACTAGCACCAATAACCATACAGACAGTGTGAGGTGTGCCAATAGAGCATCTGTGCATGCAGCTTGCAGTTACAGTGGTGTTTTTAGAGATAGTAAATACCTGCATCCATGAAGTCTAGTCTTCTCCTGCTTTGAAAAAGTAGGGCTTCTGTTTGAAGTGCCTAAATTGATTTTAGGAGTCTAGGATTTAAGGCTTCCCGAAAATCTTCTCAGGACCTATTAAGGAGTACTGTATTAAATGTATTAAGTGCGAGCCAGCTGCCACTTTGAGAGGAGCACAGAGACACCTGTAACCACAAATCTAACTCTGAACAAAATCAGTGCCTCTTCTTTGACTTTCTCTGCAAGTACAAAGTTGGACTATTTGCTTTTGTCTATGTTCTCTTTCACACTGCTTCCTTAGCACAGGCAGTGCCTCTGTTTTAAGGACTGTCACAGCCACAACCCAAAGCATTTCAAATTAATGACAAAGCCCCCTTCCACCTTTCCACCAGGGCTTTCACAGAAACTGAAGCAGCACACAGTAAGGTCCAGCACTCCCAAGGGTCAGCAGGACAAGGTGACAATTCTGCCACACGTGCCCAAGAATCTTCCAGAAGCAGAGGGTGACCTGGGGAATGGTTTCCAGAGTCTTTCACTTCCAGGTCACAGGTTCCAATCAGAACCAGACCACAGTGACTGAAAAACCATCCTCATGTGCTGCAGCCTCAGGTGAATGACTGTCTGTAAAGCAGGTTCCTGTCACCCCTTTGTGCTCACTCCTGGATTCCATCCCTGACGTGCACTGGGACCAGCCCTCGTGTGATGAGCAGCTGCACACCAGGCACCAGTCCTGCCATCCTCTCACACTCCACTCCCATGGGGCTTGTCCCCTGCCAGCCCAAAGCCCTCAGTGCCTGCTGCACAACACAGGGCTGCCATCAGACGTGGCTCCAGCTGCTGCTGGCACAAGTCCCAGGGGAGCTGAACACACAGCTTGGGAACTGCTCATTTATATGGTGCAGTGAAGCAATTCTCCCATGCAGAAACAAGGATGTATTCCCTTATTCCCCCTGGACACTGCACTTGTGCCTTGTGTCAGCAAGCACAAATATACCTGACCCCCCTCAGCATTTCCTGGCAGGACAGGAGCCCTTGTTCACTCACAGCAGGAGATGTACAGTGGACAGGCATAAACCCACACCCCCTTCCTTTCAGTGCATTTCTGAACACCCACAGCTGCTCTGCTCCTGCTGGGCCAGTCAATTCTTCAAATTGAAAAAAAGAAACTCTCTAGCAGGTGAGTGGAGACAGGCAGGCAGCCCCATTAAACAGACCAAGGAGGACAAGAAAACCAAAGGCTGTTCTATTACAGCCCAGAGCTGCCCCGAAATGTGCACATGCCACCCCAGAGAGCAGAAGTGCTGAGAATGACCCTCCATGGGCTGGGACACACAGGCACTGGCAGACAGGGACTGAGGAACAGATACTTACGTGTATCAATGGTCTCCTGGATGGGCATGAAGCCTACAGGTAAAGTGTCCTTGATATCAATGAGCTTCATATCCACCAAGACATTGCCTAAATGGCTCTTTGGAGAGAGAAAAGAAACAGTGGATTATGATAATGCCACCAAATTAAATCCCAGATCTTCCCACCTGCTGAAGCCTGAGATGCCTTGTCCTTGTATCTGATCACAACATTAGTAATGGCAAGAATGCACCAAGGCAGCCCTTGCAAGTGTCCTCCCAGCAGGAACCAAACAATGACTGACTAGGAGATACCAGACAGCTGGCACTCAAAATTCTAACACCTCATCCACTGACATACTTCCAGATCCTTGGAAGCACAGCCAAATTCTTCCTTTTGTAGGCACAGCAATTCCAAGTACAACTTCCACCAGCCCATGCACTGAGCAGGTCACCTCAGCTCTTACACACTCTACACCTACAAGAGCAACATGGCATTTCCATGGCAGTAACAGCACAAAGCATTACAGGATGATGGCTTATGCACTCATAGCCAAAGTTATTACATGCATTAGCTAATTAGTACTGAGTAGAGAGGGTTCTAGCTCCAAATGCAGCACACTCCAGAAGCACAGGCCATTTGGAATAACAAACTTCATTTGGAGTCCATATGAATTCTGAACTCCTGCCTTGTCCTATTAATCAAGGCTTGAAGAGATCAGAGCTCAATTCAGAGTGACAGCCTCCACAAAGGTTTAGAGACCGGATTTTCTTTGCATTTTTTGATAAAACCAGCACTGCTGCCAGTAATCTGGAATCACATATGAAAGAAGAACACATTTTAGGTACTGTACAGCCTTTATAAACACAAACACAGAGAACAATTAAAATTTAATCCCAAGCCATCAAACCATGTCATTGAGTTTTACTGTTTGCAAAGTACCTTATTTATTTTTTATCTGGCAAGAGTTTTTCAGACAAACCTGTACTCACTGATTATTTCACTGAACTATTCACAAAATATTTAAATTTGCAGGCTCTGAAATAAGGGGGGGTCAGGACTGAGTTTATTTTTGGGAGGTCCTGCATTTTATGGTCAGCTCCTCACCAGAAGGGTCAGCAGACTGCAGCCCTGTCCCAGCAGACACGAGTGTGGCACATCCTCTGCTCATGTGAAGGGGTCAAAGCCAGGCAGCCCCCAATGCCTCTGACTGGCCAGGGCATCTTGGAGCAAGCAAAGCTGGATGCTGCCAAGCCTGAATGTGTCAGTGAACATGGTCCTGGCACAGCAAGCAGCAGATGAAGTAGCTGCTGCTGATTCATCTTTCATGTTTTATTTATTTAAGCTGTGTGTTACATCAATGGCAACTTTCTGCTGAGCCACCCATCACTCCTCCATCAGCAGCAGACAGGAAGGAGAGGTGTCTGCAATGAGCTCATCAGCTGCTGGAACCCTGGCAGTCAGCTCTGCCATGTGCCCAGGAGAAAAGGGGACAAAGCTCCCAGTCTGTGAGACTCACCCTCCAGGGCCTCCCCACACTCAGGCACAGCAATGTCCTTACAGTTCTCAGATCCTGTAACGTGCTGAGAGTGATGATTCTGCTAAACAGGCACTGCAGACTGACCCTGCTCTAACCCAGATATCTCAAGTGCATTAACTCTACTAACTACAACATCTTCTACAGGAGTAAAGTTCCACACAAAAGAAACCCCTGAATGGTAAAACTTCCAACCCAAAGTGCAGCAACACATCAGTGTCCAGGGGAGGGAGAGGAGCCTCTCACCTCCCTCCCTTCCCAGACAAGGGAACTGAGGCCCATTAGCCCCTGGATGTCCCCAACAGGGAAACACATCATATATCCCATGTGGCCAACAGGACTGAGGGAAGAAGAAACTTTTGCTTTAATTTATGCCTCATCAATATGAAGAAGGTACTCCCAAACCATGCCAAGCCCAGGGCTCCTGCCAAAAGTTCAACAGGCACCACCTGAGGGCATTCACACCATCTCTGCAGACAGCAGCTGCTCCTGTCCTGTAATTATTTCTGGCAACTTCACATTTCAGGTAGCCACAAATAAACCTAATATTCAAATCAGCACAAACCTATTTAATAGCTTCCCTGCCTATTCCAGGGCTGCTATTCCAGCAGCTGCACATACTCTGGGACAAAAAGCACAATTATTGCCCATCCACCCCAGGAAGTGGCATTTCCCATAGCTCTGCAGTTTTACTTTCACCTAGAAGCAGGCAGGGAAGCAGATGGAATAAAGGTCAAATGCTGGGAACTGGAGCCCCCAGCTCAGCTGCCAGGACCTGTGAGCAGCCCCTGAAGCTGCCATCACTTCTCTGTTCCTGTCAGGTGAAAGCACAAGTACAAAATGGTCCTTCCAGACCCTGCCAATTGAGCCACTGTGAATATCCAAAGCACAACCAAAAGCAGGATTACCCACTAGATGGAGTGCATTCATTGCAGAAGTCAACAGTTCCTCCAGAAAAAAGAAAGTTTTCACAGTAGCCTCAACCAAAACCACAGCAGAATGCATGAAGCTCTTGCTGCACACGGTCTCCTCTCCTGCACACAAAGTGTGAGCAGACAACTGCTGCTAATCACCAAGGAGCTCATACTTAACAGTCAGACCAGATTACAAGAATGTGGTAGCATATGCACAACGTGGGCACATTTTCAAGAATCAGCACCACAACCAACAAAGAAAGCAAGCTAATCCTGCAATAAAATATCTGTGATACCTCTGGATTCAGAAACCAACATTTCCTTCACCAACACTACCTGCACTCCTTGTTTTGTGAGGAATTCGGGTTGGACATCAATCAGGGCCATGAGTGTGCAACACCCAGTGCTGCAGCAGGAAATGACTGTGAGAGGCTGCTGAAATGCAAACATTCCCTTCTGTGCTTCTTTTATTGCAGAAGATTTTGTCAGCAATTTCTTTCCATGAGAAACACAGACAAAATGCAAATATTCTGCCATTGCAGCTTGCTTCCTTACTCACCCGAACTCAGCGAAATGCCTGCTTGAATTATAATTGGCTCCATAAAATGAATCATCTTATGGGTAAGAGCATACCAGGCACAGATGCAAATCATGCAGACACTCAGCAAACGGACTTACATTTTCTTTTGAAAATGATCTGGTGAAGCACAGGTACCGTGTGACCTTGGATTTAAATAAGCCATCTTTCCACAGGTCAGCATCCAAGCCATCTGCTGTTTGTGCAACCTGCAAAGAAGAGACAGAGAGAGGAGATATGTGAGCCAAGATAAAGTTAATACATGTGCAGTACTTCTTCCTCAGACCTCTCCTAATTAACAGCAGCCCAAACTTTCACAGCATCTCATTAGCTTCTTCACAAGGTGCAGTGCAAAGAACTTTCAAGAGGAGGTATAAAAAGAAGTTCTAAAAATGCTGTCTCTCAGGAGACCCTTGATTAAAGATGCTCTGACAAAGGCTACTCTAATGAGGAAACTGCAACTTCGGTTACAGTCTCCAAACAATAGTTTGGAGAAGTCAGCACATTGAGGCATTCATTACCACCCTACACACAAGGGCACAGCGGGCATGCTGTGCTTCAGGAGGGTCCCTGAAGACAGAGCACAGAGACTCTCCCAGTCCCATCTCTGGACTATTTTCATGGAAAGCCATCAAGGAGTTCCAGCTCTCAGGTCAATAAGCTGCTTCCAGCAGCTGGGAGAATCCCTGGTCACTGGTGGATTTTAGCAGCAGTGCTGCATGTGAGCCCCACAAATGTCCCTCTGCAATGCAACCCCACAGGCAGAACTGATGGCACGTGATGGAGCTGGGTAAGGAAACAGAGCCTGGACCCTCCACAGGAGAGACACCATGATGGGCAGGAGAAAATCTCACTTGGAGCTGACTCAAGGAGTGGGCAGGAGGCAGCACCATGCCCTGGGGAGGGGCTCTGCTCTCAGCAGCTGGGCACTCACCACACACACAGCAAGCTGCTAAGAGCCCTGGCCCCAAAATGTTTGTTGTGGAGTAAGAGAGGAGACAAGAAGGCAAACACAAGGAGAAGAGTAGAAGAAACAAGACTACCCCATCAGACACACCCAAATGGCATCTCCAGCATGGACTCCAGCACGGTCTGGAGCTCCACAGAAGCTGAACTTCTGCCTAAAGCCTCTCAGATGGGGCAAACTGCTCCACTGTGGCTCTTGCAATCAGACTGAGTGAGCCCTTGGCCCCAGAGCAGCCTGATAACAAAGAGCTGACACTTGTCACTTCTGCACCCATGTTTAGTTGAGCAGAGACTGCACCAGGCACAGGAAGCAAGAGCTGTGTGCTGACAAGGCCTCCAGTTACCCCGAGGGCAGCAGAGACAAGAGACAGTCTGATCAAAGCACCAAGTGCACCGACTGCTCCTCAAATTTTGGCAACTGCTGCTCACAAGCCCCAGCTCAGGTCAAGCCATTGTACAACACACACAGCTTCTGTGTTCAGGCCTCTGCAAAGAAACACGCCTGATTTTTAAACAGACACATTTTAAATACAATTTTGATGAAATTTTTTGCTTATTTGAATGCCTTGAATTCATATCCTTCCTGAACTACTAGTTTAGGAATATGTAAAATCCACATGCATCTTCCTCCATGATGGGTAAGTCAGTTCTGGTAAAAAGATATTCAGGAAACAATCTCCTTGGGAAAACTGCTTCCATATAGGGATGGTCAGCTTGAACTCCAAGCCTGGAAAAGGTAAGCATGAATGAACTTGTCAGAAAACTCATGGGGAAAGAAAATAGAGCAGTGTAAACAGGAAATTTCTTGCATCACCTGCAAGCAAGGAGAAGCCCCAGCAGCTCTGGAAGCAGAGCTGTGCCTGATCAGCATGCCCCAGGACAGGAGCCAAGTGGGGCAGGCGGCAGCAGACCTGGCCAGCAGGACAGGAACTCCAGAGCCCCAGCTTGGCCAGTCCTTCCTTGGCTGAGAGGCCAGCAACGTGTGAGACAGAGGATCTGGCACCTGGCACTGAGCACAGAGTGGCCTGGGCACGGGGAATGGTCCTTCTGCTCATGCAGCCAGGGACAGACACTCCTCAGCCGTGTGCTACACACAGATGGACCTGACAGAGACACCCCAGCACGTACAGGTGATCTACCTGCTGCACAGCAGTCACAAGGGGCTCACTGCTACCTCACCCAGGTCTTTGGCAAGCAGGCCCTTTAAACCTCCTGCCCCACAGGGTGATCTGCCCCTCTGGCAGGGCCAGGGCTGCTCCTGCTGGGTGAGCAGCTCCCCAGAGCAATCCCCAGCACGGAGCTGGTGCTCAGCCTGCAGCAAAGAACAGGAACCACACTTCCCTCCCATCCTGAGCTCCTGCCTCCCACGTCTCCACCCCACCCAGACACAGCCTTGCCAGTTTGGTTGGATTTTCAGGAATCTAAGTTCAGACACACTCTGTATATTTTGGCAAAATCAAGTCTTTGGTGCTTTAGCTGTGAAAAGGCCTGGCCAGTTATTACAAGTGCCAGCAATGCATTTGTTTTCTACGCAGACACAAAGGCAATAGAGATTATGGAGTAACTGAAGTACTAGAGAGGAAAAAAGGCCTCTGGCCCATTTGCCAAGACATCCCCCCAGGCAGTGCCACCTGCCAGCTCCAGATGGGCAGAAGGCCGAGCCTTGGTGCTCCATGTGAATCTGCAAAATGGATCTGGACATCTCTAGGCATTTAATTTACACCAGGGGTAAAGCACCCATACTCCTGGAGATCTCTCTTAGAGGGAACAAAAGAGAAAATGAAGTTCTTAACTGGAGAAGGAAAAAAATGAAAGGGAAACTAGAAAAGCCTATAAATAACACAAGTGTCTCAGAAAGAGCTGGTTACTTCATTGCAAAACTTGAAACCACCAGGGAAACTACATGAGGAAATACTATCCCATGCAGCCGTGAATCCACCTGTAGAACTGAATGCTGCAGGATGCAGCAGTAACACAAAGCCATTGGATCCCTGAGGAGACTACAACATCCCAAGAAACACAGCTGTTAATGCTCCCAAAAGATGAGTGTGGTTCTCCTTCCCAGGGTGCAGTGTGCACTTCTACTATGAGGGCTCTAGGGAGCACAGTTCTGGGATGCAGCTGCCACAGCTGCCTTCAAGGCTTTACAGCAATCAGCTGTCAGTGTCTCATTAAGGGAACTGCATACCTGCAGACACACAGATCCAAGACCACCCAGCTCTGCACATTGCCCATGTCTCAGAACATGATTTCTCTGCTGCTCTAAGCAGTGCCCTTGTGCAAATTCAGCTTCATGCTTTCAGCTGGGCCAGACCAGGTTCCAGAGAAGTCATGGAGAAGTGGCAACCCAGCATAGCACACACTGCTCCAGTGCACTGAGTCACAGAGCAGCCACCTTCACAAACAGCCAGCACACTCCTGCATGCCACTGTCCCCTGGCCATCAGCGTGGCACCCTTGACAGCAGGTGCTGCACAGGGAACAGGGCACCAAGGGCAGCTGGCAGCACCCAGGCACTCTGCAGGGCTGATGTGGTGAGGGTGGCAAGGGAGAAAAGGGCACGGCAGCCGTGCTGGGGAGGGACAGCACACAGCAGGCACTGCCCCAAGGCTGGCAGTGCCCAGGCACACTGCAGGGCTGACGTGGTAAGGGTGTGGCAGCCGTGCTGGGGAGGGACAGCACACAGCAGGCACTGCCCCACTGCTCCAAGGGCAGACAGGGCTCCTTGTGAACAGACAGTGAGGCAGCAGAGCCAGAGCAAAGGCAGCTCCTCACCGTGCCCTGAGGAGACAACGACCCACATTCACCAGCATTACACCACCACCATAATTGGATTAAGCCACAGGAAGACTCTTTTATCTTGTTTAGTTTAAACTGCGTTAGCGCTGCAACTCCCCATTAAGCCACAGGCAGGCTATCTGGGGTGAGCGCTCTCTCTGCCCAGCCATTTAGGCAAAATGCAATTCTGTTATCAGAAGTCTCACACTGTCCCGTGCTTCTTTATCAGGGCAAGCAGCTAATTACACAGCCTGGCTCACACAGGTAATGAGCACTTGGAAAAACACAGTAAATGTAAAAACCTCCCAGGTCTTTAAGGAGCCTTTTCACAATTCCCCCCTTGTGTCCTTACTTCAGCCTGATCCATTTTGTTTCTTCACACTGAACAAGGTATGCAATGATCCAGAGCTGAAGAGGAGTGAGTAAAGCCTCAAGTCAGCTGGCTTCCACTCCCACCATGCAAGCTGTGTGGCTCTGGAAACCCAAGGTGTGATGCAGCACAGTTGGAGCAGGACACACAAAAAAGCGAGCAGATGAACTACAGACCAAATTTTTCTCTACAGATCTCTGCAAGGTCAGGATTTCATATTTCACAGTTTGGGACACTGATCTATGAGTAGAAACATCCTGCTGTTGGTTACACAGCAACTAATCCAAGGAACAAGCAGCTGCTCAACAGCAACCTCCCTTTATCTATTCACACATTCATCTATGCTGTACCCAGCTGCCTTTTCCTGCTGCCAGTCTCCTGCCAAACCTTAGAGGTTAGAGTCTAAACTCTAAGGTTTAAACCTTATGGCATTTTGCCTGTCAAAATCACCCTTGCAATTTCAGCTGGATGCAAAACTCTTTGATTCCCTTTCTGGAGCTTCTCATCATCATTGTGCAGTGCTGATATGTGGGATTAAACAGCTGATGCGGGATCCATTTATTTAGAGATATAATTTGTACAATACTTAGGACTCCTTCAGGATGAATGTTACCAGGATTATTAAATTTGCTTGCCACAGTGGCCAGCTATTTCTGCAAACCCCTCCTCCAGGAAATTAAGCTTCTCTGCAGTGGCAAAGATGAAGTGGCACATTTGCACCCACAACCCTCTGCTGAAGGAAAGCACCAAGTGCTGTGGGCTGAAAGGCGGGCAGCTGGCTACCAAGTGACTCCTCAGAGCACAGCGTGTTCTCTCTGGAGGAGGTGCTGTTCCCAGCAAAGCAAAGCCAAAGCATTGGGTGCAGCAGCTCTACTTACAACATCGTATCCAGTGGGAGCTCGGCTGCGGGAGGCGACCACGCCGACGCCCGTGATGGGATCCAGGGGCAGCTCGGGCAGGGCATCGCTGAGGTCTCGCACCTCGGGCATCATGGACTGGTCCTGGGAGAAAGGAGCAGAATTACAGAGCTGCTGGGCACCACACCCCACCAGAAGCCAGAGAACCGAGAGCACACATGCATGCCAGAGTGCCTGTGCTGACACACCACAGACGGCCAAGGTAAACACAGGATTAGGCCAGACACACCTTCTGCACTTTCATTTGCTTTTGATAAGAGGGTACACTTGTGCAATGCCAAATAGGTTAGAAATTTGGGCTGGCAGCCTCTGAGACTCATTTTGTTGCTTCCATGGGCTGGTCTCCATCTAGCAATGACAGGAAAATCAAAGCTCAATCCCTTCTCTCCCCAGAAGAGAGTAAATTTCGCCCCCAAGTCATGCTGGTTGAAGCAGCTCTGTCATTTTAAACAGCAAGAAATGTGCTCCTAATGGCTTTATGGGGAGGTTCCCCATCCACTCTGGGTGTTAAGACATGCTGGGGGTTCCCCCATGAGTCGTCAGTCCCACCACACCCCCCTCAGGCAGACTGATTTCAAGGAGCAGCACAGATGTCTCTGGCGCTGGATGCAGAACTGCACTGGCTGCAGGGAGCCTCCACACCAGGGAACACAGAGGAAGCACAGGGTGGGCTGGTGCAAAGCAGAGAGGCCTTGAGGAGGCCTGAGCATCTTCCAGAAGAGACACATCACCAAGAACATCAAGGGTGGGAGATATGCAGAAAGGACAGAAGCAGGTAAGACCAACTAATTTCAGAGGGATGAGGGATGCTGCTGCAGGAAGCAGGAGGAGAGGACAAGAAAGGGGCTGAAACGACCATGGTGGAGGATGGGGAAAGGTGCCACTGCCTCAGCATGTGGCCTCCTGCAGAAGTAGCCAGTTAAAGCAAATCTTCTCTGGCTTTCAGGCAGGAATGCCCCAGGAAATCACCCCCCACGCACCCCAAGACAAAAGGGCAGTGCTCTGTGTACACAAGCATCACTGCTGCACAGCCAGACAAGCCGTGAACCAGAGCTGCCGGATTCAATTCCCTCCTCAGAGCAATCGAACCCCAGCATTTCTAGGCCATGGAGATGGCTGGTTACTTACTGCTTCTAGAAAAGGCAGAGCTGAGTACTGGTGCCAGTGGGACCTGGGTTTACACTTCACAATGCCCAGTCTGAACAAACATCGTGCTGCAGGCAATAAAAGAGAGCAAGTCTGGGCCCTATGTAAATAATAATAATGTCAAATGAACAGCCAGACTACTTGAGGAGTCCAAAACAACATGTGCTAGTGAGCAGTAACGGTGCAAACACTATTGCTGATGAACCAGAGGAGAGAGAGCTCTGCTTTGGCACCAGCACAGAGCAGAGCCAACCCTCTTCACTCCCAGAGCAGCTCAAACCTTCGAGCACGATGGTAAGGCCCCCTCTCCCAGCAGGATCCCTGTCCTCAGAGTGGGCAAGGAGCACAGGAATGCTGCAGGAATGCTGGAGGCACTGGCACAGCCATGACAGACCCTGTGCCACCCCACAGCTCATCCAGAGGCCTCACAAATAATGCAGAACCTCAAACATACAGCATGGAACAAACGTAATGTGAATTGAACAAAGATCTTACAATCTGTTCTGCATGAACGTTTTCTGAAACTTCTCCAAGTCACTCAGTAGTGTGGTGACTTGTTACTACATTTTGGGAGGAGCTGGGAGGTAATGAATGCTGACATAAGCTTCTCTTAGGCCATTTTGAACTGAAATCCAGGTAAGTGATGATATTCCCCAGCGTGTTCAGGACACCACACAGGTTCCCACACAGCTGCAGTGCAGGGAAGCAGATCTGCTCACACCAAACGTGCCCTGATGAAGTGAAGTGCCTGCTGCTGAACGCTGCCAGGCCCTGTCTCACCATGCTGGAGGCTCAGCTGCTCCAGCAGGAACCTGAGCAGCTGCCAGGTCAGCCTGGGCAAGGCTGAGGACGAGGGGGTGCCCAGCACCAGCACAGAAGGAGGGGTGGGTGCTCCAACCCGCAGTGTGCTGCCTCCCCCTCAGCTGGCACGCTGTCTCAGCAAAGGAAGAAGGGCACCTTTGTGGGAGCCATTTGCAGCCCTGCTCTGCACAGGGGGAGGGGAAATGGCATCAATCCTCACTGTGTGCTGGCTCACACAAAGCCCCTCTATGGCAGCAGCGCTGGCCCTGGGGCTCTCTGCCTGCCCATGGTGGACACCGCGGGGGCAGCACCAGCCCAGGGCCCTGAGCAGCCCCTGCTGCAGCAAGGGCCACCCAGCTCCCCTGCCCAGCGAGCCCAGCACCTTCCTCTGCCCTGTGCCCACAGCGATGGAGGGCACAGCACCTGCCCAGCAAGCAAACCTGCAGCACGGCCAGGCTGTGCCACACCAGGGCAGCCACACTGAGGATGCACCTGGAACACACGTGGAGCAGCAGAAGTCAGTTGCACACCGGGAGAAACGTTTCTGTGAACTCTGCACGGGTCAGAGGGGAGTCTCTGGCCGGGCAATCACACAGATTAGTTACACTGCACTTCTCCACGAGAGTGTCAACAAACTTTGGTTTCTTTTCCACTGTGTTTTTTAACTTAAAAATGAAAAAAACAAACAGTGAAAGGAGCAGGATTAAATTAAGGAGAGGGATTCTATAAATACCTCCATTAGGCAGCTTGTTATTTTAATTCTCTTTAGCAACGTGAGTTTGACCTGCATGCCCACCTGCCATCAGAGTGGCCAAGCACTCAGCCCTGCCTATGGCATCCTGCAGTGAGCTGCCTGTGCCAAACCACTCACTGCAGGGTTATTCCGGGAACAGGCCAAAACAATAAGAACATTTTTCCCATTAGTGGGGAGCATGCTCCCTGGAAGTTGTTCTGGCCATCCAGTCCCCAGCACACCCCAGCAGCCAAAGGAAGCCGGATGTGAGCTCTGGGGAAGGAAGAAGCTTCAGAACACTGTGGGGACAGACAAATCCAGCGGGGAAAGAATGTGTCTCTAACAAAAAAAGTCCCTGTACATCCTGCCAGCACCAGTCCCCATCAGCACACAGCAGAGCAGGGTGGGATGGCTGCAGGACGAGATGGACAGGATGCACTCTTGGACAAGCAGCCACCATGCTGCTCTGTCCTGAAAGCTTCCCAACCCTGGAGCCAGACATGCCTCGAGGCAGGAGTAGTGTCCCAGGGATCCTGACACCCAGCTGTAGCAGAGGCCTTCTGGTTTCTGGCACAGCCTTCTTCCCACAACCCATGTCCATAGTCACACACACCTTCCCTTCTGCCAGCATTCCCAAGTTCGTCTGTTTATAGCCTTTTTGCTTGTTCTCTCCCATTTCCTTGTTAGCTCATCTGCCTTTATTAGTTTACCCTAGGCATACTTTTCTGCTGGCTGCACTGACGTGACTGACCACACACACTGCTGGGCTCTGGCTGGGACACACATACAGCACAAGAACTCGCTTTCAGAAATGAATGCATTATTGTGAGTTTCTAGACCATTTTCTGCTCTCAGTGTTCCTTTTCAACAAGTTCAAGAGCTGGTGGGTACATGACCAGATCAGGCCTTTCAATGTATTTGCTACAGAAACATCACGCTGCCGGCAAAGCAGGTCAAGCTCTGAAGTTAAATAGCCAGGGACTTAGAGGGAGAATGGTGTTATTGTTTCTTCCTCCAACTACAAGCCCTGCACTTTGACACTGGCTTGCTCTTCGCACAGGCAGAAAAGTATGAGCTAAGTCAAGAATGGGAAAAAAAAAAACAAAAAAACACAACTACCTCACTGCGCCCCTGCAGTGTGTGGGAAATGGTCCCACAGACCAAAGCAGACACAGGGCTCCAAGCCCTGCAGGAAGGCACAGCCACACTGCCCAGCTCCCTGCACACCTCCCACCGGGGACCGGACACGGCCCCGGCCAACCTTCCCTTCCTGCTCATGGAACAGGACAAGCCTCAGTCACAGAAACAGGAGACCGCAGTGGCAATCAGCACCAGGGCCTTGGAGGCCACCACCACCAGCAGGAAGAATTTCAGTGTCACATTTCACCACCATCGAAGGCATGCCTGGAATCACCCCTGCACACAGGCTCCCTACGAGACAGTTGCCCTGCACCAGCTGCAAAATCTACACCTTGTGACTGTATGGGATGGAAACAGGAACTTAAGAGACAGAATGAGCAAAATCGAGACCTTGTATTGTTTCACAACACTCCTAACTGGGGACACGCATTTCAGGAGAGTGTCCTGTTTCAAACCAAAATAGGTTTTGGCACACAGCTGACCTTGCACCAGGGCAGCAATACCGAAATAACATTCAGTTCGGTTACTTCTGTCGTGGTAGAGCTAAGAACAGGTCCCTGGGGGCTGCCGGTACCCTTAACCCTGGGATTCGCTTTGTCAGAGATGCACGTGGTACCACAGGGAGATGCTGTCTGTTTCACCTCACACCTCCAGAAGCTCGAGTGACGCCTTCATATAGAAGGGAAGGCCATCCCAGCTAAAAATTACAGGAATGATGCTGCCAAACTGCAGCACAACACACAGGCTCCCTAAGTAACAGATGAGAACGTTCCCACTCAGTTAAAATAAAACACAAAATGGAGAAACCCAAGCTTTAGCCAGAGCAGCCACACACCTGCTGACACCCAGCCTGTCTGGTTTCAGCGTTACTGTGACCAAGCTGAGAATGCCTCAGCTCTGGGAACGTGCAGACAACACTGAAGATTGGTGGACCTTTAAAAATCTCTCCAGAAACCTCCGAGAAAGCTTGCAAGCCTCCGTGATGAAAGGCACGAGTACTTAGGACACAGCAAGTGTGTGTCGCTGCTCCAGCCAGGCTGTAAGAAGCCAGCCAGTGTCACAGCTCCAGCCATACACTGAGCACAGGTAAGACCGGGCACTCACGTAGGCCCATGCTACAAACGCAGCAAAAGACCACACGAGACAGAGGGGCGTTTTGTAATTTCCTCTAACAAGGAGAATTTACAGCAAATCCCGGAGCAGGTCAAGGTCACCGCGGCTCTACCCCACGGCTGCTACCCGGGGCCGCTCCTCCAGCTGCCCCAGCCCCGGAGAAGCCGCCGGGTCTCACGGAGGCCACGGGGGCGCTCCGGCCCGGCCCAGGCGCCCGGTCCCCGCTCCGGCCGGCCCCGGCAGCCCCGGCCCGGGGAGCTGAGCCCGCCCGCCCCGCCCATGCCAGCGCCGCCGCCGCCGCCTTCCCCCGCCGCACCGGGCCGGGCCGGGCCGCAGGAGCCGCGGGAGCCGGGCGGGCCCGGGCCCGGGCCGGCAGCGGGGCCGCGGCGGCTGCAGGGACACTTAACTGTTGCCCGTGCGGCGGGCGGCGGGTCGCGGCTCCCCCGGCGCAGGCAGAAGCAGCTCCTCATCGCCCGGCGGGGCCGGCGCGGCGCGGCCCGGCGGGAGGAGCGGCGGCGGGGGAGCGGCCTGCGGGCCCGGGCGGAGCGGGCGGGGCGGGGAGCGGAGCGCACCGCGGGCAGGGCAGGCCCGGAGCTCGGGATGGGGCCGGGGCTGGGGCCGCCGCCGCTCCGCGCCCACCGCGGCCGGACCGCGGCGCGCAGGGCCCGGATCCCGCCCCGCCCGGCCCGGCCCCCGCGCCGCCCCGCGACCCCCGCCCGAGCCCCCAGCCCCGCGCTGCGGCCCGGCCCGGCCCACGGGACACTCACCGCGGCTGCTGCGCTGCTTTCCTCCCTCCCTCCTGCCGCTCCGCCCGGCCCGCCCCGCCCGCGGCCCCGGGCACCGGAGCTCGGCCCCGTCACGGCCCCGCGGAGCCGGGGCCGCACCTCGCCAGAACCTCCCTGCCCGGGGAACGCGGCAGAGCCCGGCCCAGCTCCCCAGCGCGCTCCGAGCAGCCTCCGCCACCCGGAGCACACGGGAGGTGCCAGGTGGAAATGGCTGAATAGCCGTGATTTGGCCAATGTAACCTCCTGCCTTCTAAAACGGGCTGCGCCCAGATGGGCAGCAGCTGCGGCGGGTTGAGAAGGGCACATGGTGTCAAACGAGCTGGTTATCTTGTCAAGAAGTGCCTGGTGTTGGGAGCCATGAGCGCTTTCAGGAGCTACCTTCAATTCATTAAGATACTCGATGCTCTATCTCACCATGGCCTGAAAAACAAAGATATGGTTCAAAGTGTTCAGGGTTTGCCTGCCTGGCCCGGTAACGGCAGCTTTGGGATCCACTCACAGCACAGAAAAGATCCTGAACAGAGGGTCTGGTTCTGCTCAGCGTTAACACGTGCCGGTGTTGAAACTGACAGCGCACTCACTGAGTTAGCAGGTGATGTCAATGGCAGCGTAGCGCGGGGCAGCAGCATGGCCCATAGCCGTCACTACCTGAACCAATCCTGCACCTGTCCTGCACCGCCTTTTGAGCACCTTCCCTAGAGCAAGGTGAACAACGAGCGTCTGCAGAGCAGCCCCATGGGTGTAGAGGCTGACATCAGCAGCCTTTGGTGCAAGACAGAGTTGGAGCTGCTAATCCAAAGCAAAAGAAAAAAATCCTGGGGTGACGAAGGAAATAAGGGAGGGACAGAAACACGTTAATGTGTATGTGAGTTAAAGAGAAGGGCAGAAACCTGCTCCCCTTTGTGAGAGACTGGGAAGTGATGTGTCTGAAGTGCAGCAAGAGATTCTGTGAAGATAACAGTGAAAACTACAATACCAAGGATTTAAGAACAGCTTGGAGAATTTTTGTTAATGGTCAAGCCGGTAGCCCTCCCTGAAGCTCTTATCAGACATTATTCAGTCATTCCCTTGGAGCAGATGGTCTCCCTCATCCTTTGTAGAACTGGTTTACTCTATTTTCCATGAGCCAGGGTTTTCTTTGTGTGGGGAGCCTGGCCTTTGTGACTTAAAAGAGGAGAAGGATCTTGCTCAGACACCCGAATTTC